CTCTCCCTGACACAATGAGATCTAGGATAAAATAAATCTTATCTTCCATTGGTGGCCTTGTTACACCACAGAAACGGATGAGAAAAATTCAACATCCATTTTGGCAGCGACACGACCATGGCCACATACTCCATTTGTGAGAGTTACGTGTGCAAAGCTGCTAAAACAGTTCTCTACGGCTCGAGCTCTGCTGCTTTCTGTTTGGGTTCAACTCAATTACATTGAGCAAATATGCCCTTGGATACCACTGGACACCCGCAGCAGGAGGGGCCGTGGGAACACGCAGAGGGATCAGATGTGGCTGCTGCCTTCCCAGAAGTTACAGTCCAGTGAGAAGATGGGACAAGCAAATGACTGATAAGCAAGAAGGTGGCGATGCCTCAGTCTCTGGGGCTGGGGACAGGGAGAAAGGAGACAGTTCAGGGCGGCAGAGATCGCGGTTGGGAAACAGCAACTGGCTCCAGTAAGTGCTTAATAAGTGTTTGAGGAACTAATCAAATAAGTATTGAGGCAGTGCATGTTCCAGTTAAAACAAAGAGTTACTAAGCACATGCTTCTCTTAGGCTGAGAGCATTTGGGGAAAGCTCTTACTTAAAGCAATGAAGGGATGCTTTCCCACATTTTAATTCAGTGGCTGCAGTTCTTACTTTTCAGCACAAGAGGGAGCTGCTGCCCAGTTTATTTGACCAAAAATAGAATTTCTTTAGGTTTGTCCATTTCTTCCCAAATTAAGTGTAGTACATTGGGCCTTTTAACCACCTTCCCTCCAAATAGCCCACCAAACAAAGACATGCTATCAAGATTATCATCATTGGTGCATTATTTTCTAAAAGGAATTACATGATTAATGGGGGGGGGGGGGGGAGGGAACATTTAAAAAGTTTTCTAAATGTTTTCTAAATGGATATCCTAGACCAGGCTGGAGGGTTCTTCAGAACCCTCAATGAACTCAGGGTTCCTAGTAATGGAAGCTCTACTTACAAAAAATGCTTCAGAGCTTCATGTATGGGCAACGCATCTGAGATGACAGCCCTAACACAGTGCCCGAGGTTTCATGAGGGTCACAGTCCAGCTGAGATGTTTGTTGGCTGAGTCCAGGCCTTCCAACTCCGGGATGGGCAACTTCTTTTGTGACGTGTCGCAAA